AATCACTAATAAACTTTGATGTCTACATGTTTTCCTATAATGATGATGATGGTGACGGTGTGCCGTGGAGTCAGTTCCGATTCATAGCAAAGCTCATAGGGTGTCTGAGGCTGTAAATCTTTAGCAGAATGCCTCATCTTTCTCCTGTGGAACAGCTGGTAGTTTCGAACTGCTGACCTTGAGGTTAGCAGCCCAACTTGTAACCACTACACTACCAGAGCTCCTTATACATTTCCCTATGAACAGTATTTTAAATTAATATCGTGTTTTGTTTACAACTCAAAATAAAGGAAGTTGGAGCAGAGTCCCAGAATCTTGGTCAGTCCTTATATTCCACCCTCCATCTGTGAAAGACACTCAATCTCTCAGCAATAGGTCCTAGAATGTTAGAAGTTGTGAGAACAGACTTCTTGTTAAGTGCCATCGAGTAGATTCCGACCCATAGCGACCCTGTATAGGGTTTCCAAGGAGCAGCTGGTGAGCTTGAACCACCAACTTTGCAGTTCAAACGTTTTTGCAGTCTGGCGCATTAACCTACAGTGCCACACTAGGACTTGGCCACTAATTCAGAAGTCTTGGTGAATTTATTTTGACATGTGCTTGTCACCCCCTCTGCTGGCTGTATGGGGATGTGCAAGACAATATAAAAACCTTGCACCCTTAAAAGCACATGATTAAAAACAGCAACTTAAACCTGTTTAACAAAGAGGAGGTAGTTTAGGATACTGGTTACCACAGTCAACTCTGGATTTCATCTACTAGGCTAAATCTTAGCTCCATCACGATTTACTGTTTTCCTCTGAGCCTTTCATGGACATACCCTCATTTGATTTTCCCAGCAGTTTTTGTAAGTGGAACTGGGTTTACATTAGCCTTGTTAGAGATAATATATATATATAATTTATGAACGCAATGATTAACATATGTTAACCTTGAACCAAAGCAAATAAGGTGTCACAATGTCAACACAACTATTTATCTCCACTGAATACTCATCGATGAATAGGTGTGCTTAATTGAAAATTTAAGTCTTCTCAACTTGTAGTCAATTGCTGTTGTTAGATCTGTAATTTGATCAAGGTTCTGTCAATGCATTCTGTACCTTTACAACTTTGTGTAACGTCACCTGCAGTATTAATTAGGGATGACCTGATTGAGAGGTGACTACAGCAAGAATCACAAAACTGAAGCAACACAATGAAAGACACCATCCAAAGTCCCACCAGGCCCAACAATCCTGACATATCAGGGAAGACATGCACCATGCAAAGCATTCACTTACACTTCAAAGGTTCTTTTTCAATTTTAGCACATGTTTACTTGATTACTTTAGTTGCTCACTTAGTCACAGTTTGGTGCAAGAAGTATGATTTCTTGTGTTTGAACATACAATGGTACTTACTGTTAAGTGTTGCCGAGTTGGTTCAGACTCAGAAACCCTGTATAAGGTTTCCGAGGAGCGACTGGGAGATTTGAACCTCCAACCTTGTGGTTTGCAGTCCAGTGATAATTCCGGAGCCACACCAGCATTCCATCAATACTTATGGAAGTTTTAACTCCTTTACTTTAGACAGTGTTTTTTGGTGCATGCGTTACTGATGAACATATCAGTGCTTTGAAATGAGAGTGCTTAGAGTCAACCCAAGACAACTTTAATGTTGAAATATCAGCAATACTTGTTTTTGAAAAGAATACTTAGAGAAAATCCATGTGGATAGGATATTAGAACTGAAGAAAGGTTCTAATTAATTATGAGTCTTGCTGTAATTATGCTATTATATTTAAGCTTCAGTATTATTTGAAGTGTAAAGGACTCTTAGATTCTAATCTTGTATAATTTATGACACTTAGATTTTAATCTTGTGTACTTTATGAAGGACAGTTTGTAATCGAATTAAGTTTTGTTCTTTATAGAGTTTTCAGAAATTCAATGAACACATAACAGTTCTGTTAATTTCTTCAAAGTTCATTTTTCCTCTTCCTGAAAAAAGCACATAACTAGTAGGAGGTAATATACCTAGAAACATTATTAAGTGATTAAAAGCATCGTGATTTGAAATGTTCTAATGTGCATTTTAATTAGCCCTGTTACCTACTAGGGAGCCCTAGCGTGGTGCTGTGGGATAAAGTACTGGACTGCAAGGTCAGTTTGAACCACAAGGTCAGAGATTCAAATTCACCAGCCGCTCCTTGGAAACCCTATTCAGGGTCCATAAGAGCTGGAACCAACTTGACGGCACTTAACAACAACAACAGCATTACCTACTAGAATGGAATTACATTTTACCACATTCTTAGGTTGTGTCACATTCTGGGAGTCCTGGGGTGGTGCTTCAGGTTCATGTGCTGGACTGCAAGGTAGGTTTGAACCACAAGGTCGGCGGTTCAAACTCACCAACCACTCCTCAGAAATCCTATGCAGGGTAGTTATGTATTGGAACGGACTCAACAGCACTTAACAACATCATCGCATTCTTTGACTTTGCTAACATACCTAAATATATTAAACTATAACATACTGATTTCATAGGGTAAATGTAAATCTTTAGAGGAATTTAGATTCTTTTGCAAAAATATATTAATTTCGATTTTGTGATATTCTTTTCTTTTTCTGTTAGAAATAAGCCCTGTGAATGAAAGACAAAAGTTAATTTCCCTCTGTTTCTTCCACATTCATTTAACTTGTTTTTGATTAGCATCCCTTATCAGGGGCTATTGCATCTCTTGTTCTGAAATGAAATGATGAAAATAGAACATGGCAATACTTCTAAAAGTATTACCTTCTATTGTTTAGCTGTTCTAGCCCATGCTATCATTAAATTCAACATACAGTTGGCATGATAAACTGATTTTAATATTCAGAAATATTCTTTGTTGATTTTGAACAAGTACTTGGCTTCAAAAATCAAAATAAGTAATTGAATTTTAAAACATGATGCTTTGTTAACTCTTACCTGTTAAAGTAAATTTAATAGATTTATTTATTATTATACAGTTCCTCAAGGAAGCAAATTAAAACAGGCATTTTATTAGTGAGATACTTCATTTTCTTCTTAAGTAAAGAAAATAAATGTTTCTTTTCCAGATGCTTGTAACCTTAGATACAAAGAGATGATATTGTCTTATAAATCATAATAAATATAATGAGAAATAGTCTGGACACTGATTCATATCTCTAATGTTACTCTAGAGAGATAAAGAATAAGGACAACCGAAATCACTACAGCGGCTGTAATCATGTTAATTTTTTAATACTATAATACACAAGTCAAAGAGCTCTAGTAGCGTAGTGGTTACAAGTTGGGCTGCTAACCTCAAGGTCAGCAGTCCAAAGTTATCGGCTGTTTGGTGGGAGAACAATGAGGCTTTTTGTTTCCGTAAAGATTTATGGTTCACGTAAAGATTTAGGGTTTCTATACAGGGTTGCTATGAGTCAGAAATGACTCCAAGGCACATAACCAGCAAACATATATACAAGTCAGTCTGCATCAATAAAGATACTGTTAACTAGAATTATTGGACATGAAACATTTAGTTTCTTCCTGAATAAATTCTTCTAATAAAAAGAATTTATTTAATTCTTCTAATAAAAGAGTTTATTAGAAGATCCTATATGCATTTTTCTTCCTAAATGGATGTTAATTAAGAACAATTCTTAATCAATATTAGACTCTATTTTTTTCACTTTTTCAACTACGGTTTCAGATACCTGCTAATGCAAGAGCTAATGATTGTGGTAATCTACTTTTCCTAATTTGGAACATCAAATTTTATGTTTAACTGGAATACTATGAAAAATATAATATGCTTACTTTCATCATGTATATCTAAGGTTGATCACATTCAATACTTATTTTAGAGACCTTAAAATAATCCATGATTATACTCATAAAATCAATGAAATGTGTATTTAAGTAGGTCAGCATCATTGTTGCAAGCAAACAGTGTTAACAAAATTCATATTTACTACATACAGAACGTTTGGCTTAAATGAAAAGATCACCTCATAGGCGCTTTCACCATTTAGTTCTCCATATAAGGCAAAGTTCCTTAGATGAAGATTTTCATACTGACATTTGAACCAATTAGAGCCTAGGGAAGGTCCACACTTCTTGGACCACATCACTGGGCGGTAACAGGCACATCCACTCCAGAAGCAGATAAGTTTTTGGCAACTGAGAACTTAGATCACAACAAAGTGATGACATACAAACAATCATATTCTGCTTAGTTCAGGATGAGTATGCAAGAGCTCAAAGACACAAGCTAAAAGCCATACAACCAACAAGTTTTATGGTATTTTTTTGGTTAGTTTCATTTAGAAGTCACTCACAAATTTGGAATTAAATACTGTATATAAATAAACAAGATGACAGTTATAGTCACTGAAACACTTGAGTACGTAATTTTCTGCACTGAACTCTCATGTAGTGTTGTATAAAATTTTATTAGAAAAAGCTGAAGAGGGAATTGGCTTGAATCTCAAACATCTTCCCTTTTGCAGATGAGGTAAAGCAGCTGTCAAATAAATACTTCCATGACAACTAGATCATCTGCTTGGAAACTTCTAGAAACAAGCAGGGGTTAAAGCTTTCTTTTTGATATAGCTTTAAGATAAATGATTGTTTCCATATTGGTTTGATTAAAAAAAAATACACACTGACTTAAATACTTACAAATGCATCACCTTTATACCTTCACAATTTGTACTTATAAAAATTTCCCCTAAGTTGCACTTTGATCATTTAGGGAAATAGAAAACAAAAGCAAATATGAGTAAGCATGGATCCCACATCCAAGACCATACTCATAATAATTTTCTCTAAAATTATACACAAGAGGTTGTTGTTTCAACCAGCATTTTCTTCTCCCCAAATCCAGGCAGGTCACCTAGTAAATACCATTTTCCCTTCATGAAAAATATAACCCCATACACGTTCCTAGAGTCCCTTACTCTTGAGAGGTGTTTCAGTGACCAAATAATTCATCCATTTAGTTACCTTAATGGCAGAGAGGTCAATTTTTTCTTCTTTTTTGGCTGGGGGAGGTGCAGGGGCTGGGGCTGGGGCAGGGGCTGGAGCAGCCGCAGCAGGCTTCTTCACTTCCTTCTTTGGTGCCATTTTGTATAAAAGGATGAGTTAAAAAAAGAGAGAGAGAAGGAGCTCCTCTAACAGAACCTGTTAAAATGATTCTTGGAAGAGGAGTGGTGGTTCAGTTGATCCACAGCCCAGTGTCTTGAAGGTGGACTCCGACTGTTAAATGGTATAAAGGCATGCATATATATTTCACTTAGTGCCTAATAGAATTGACACATGCGGCTGGATTGGACAGTTCGCTAGTCAAGGGGGATGGCATTCCGGCTCAGACTATAAATGGAATCTAAAGGGTCAGGGCTTCATCAATTTTTTTTAAAACTCTCTTTGCCTTTCTTTCTTTTTTTTTCTTCTCTTCTTCACCTCCATGTATAAAGGAGAAAGAAATATGGCAAAGCCATCTTCAAATCCTTTAGTGACAGTAGATTGACTGACACTTTTTCTTGATAGAATTACAGTTATGCTGAAGTTGTAAATCTTTTTTTTTTTTTCCATGCCTAGGAAACTTTACTGAAGGATTCAGTTTCAACTTGGAATTTGATAAGGAGTATCATTAACTTTCATCCAGGTCCTTTGCTCATGCTCCTCTGCCCTTGCCATAATTTGCAAGAAAATGTTGGTCAGCAAAGAGGTGTTGGTGTTTAAAAATAAAAGGCAGACCTATAAGGAAAGCCCATCGAATCTTAAGGTGGTTTCCCTTCTAGGGAACACAGTCTCTTTCTCTCTCTCTAAAAAATGCACTGAACTCTATACTTAAGAGATATAATTCAAAACAGAGTCCTTTGAATTCATTCTTTTCTGTAATTTAATGAAGCATATTAAATGGGATGGAAATATATTCCAAAATTTTCGTTCTTGCAAACCAACCTTTCTGGTAGTAAAGTAGCTCTGAATCAAAGTAGATGCTTAGCCATTTTGTTTTCTAAATGGCATAAAGTCTAATTACCTATTTATCACTTAACTATGGAGTCCTGGTGTAGTTCTGTAGGGTAAGCACTGGACTACAAGATTGGTTTGAATCTCAAGGTTGATGGTTCAAACTCATCAGTTGCTCCTTGGAAATTCTATACAGGGTTTTTATGAGTGAGAACTGACTTGATGGCATTTAACAACAACAGGGAGACAAGATAACCTTTTCAATTTACTCAAATGACCAGAGTTTACTGTAAGAAGGAAAAGGACTTTTAATTTCAATACTATGCTCCCATAAAGATTTACAGCCTCGGAAACCCTGTGCAGGGTCGCTATGAGTCGGAACCTACTCCACGGCACTTAACAACAACAACAACTATGCACATTGTGGTGAACAACTTAAAAGGTTTTTCCTTTTTTGTCCTTGCTCTCCTCAGTCTGCAAGGCTACACTCTTATATTAAAGAAGTATAGGATAACAATGGATACTTTCCAATAGGGCCAGATCTAACCTCAGAGGTGAGGTAATCACTTTAGTCTCACTTATGTTTGTTTGTTTTGTTTTTAATCTATGAAAAAGATGAGGCTGTGTACTTCTGTAAAGATTTATAATTTTGGAAGCCCTGTATAGGGTCTCTTTGAGTCAAACCAACTCTATGGCAGTGTTTTTTTTGTTTATTGACTAATTAGTCCTGGCCCCTGGGTGTTGTAAGTGGTTAAGAACTTGGTTGCTAAACCAAAGGTTGGCAGTCCAGGTCCACCAAGAGATACCTTGGAAGAAAGGTTTAGCGACCTACTTCCAAAAGAATCAGCCTTGAAAACCCCACGGGGTAGAGTTCTACTGTGACACACATGAGGTCATCATGAATCAGAACCAACTGGACAGTGGCACATTTGGCTTATTAATTGGTAAAGACAAAACCAAAACCAAACAACAAGTAGTCCGTTTTATGTCTCTGGACAACGAACCACAAAGTCGGCAGTTCAAATCCAGCAGCAATTCCTTGGAAACCCTATACAGGGCCACTTTGCATTGGAACCAACTTAATGGCACTTAACAACAGCAAGAAGAAGTTTTATACATACGTTACTGTTGTTGTCAAGTGCCATGGAGTTAGTTCTGACTCAAAGTTACCCTGTATAGGGTTTCCAAGGAGCATCTGGTAGATTTGAACTTCTGATTTTGTGGTTAGCAGTCCAGTGCTTATCCTACCACAGCACACCAAGACTACATTATACATAGGAAGGGGCTTCAAAAAGTTCATGAAAAAGATCCATAATCTTTTAATTCCACCAATAATGTGGCTCCACTTCATATTTGGAGTCTTGTTGTGGCGCTGCAGGATAATGCACTAGACAGCAGGTCAGTTTGAACTGCAATATCAGTGGTTCAAACCCACCAGCTGCTCCTCTGAAACACTAGTCAGGGTTGTTATCTTGAAGGCACTTTACAACAACAAAAACTTCATGTTTTGGGTAATTTGAGATATCAAAGGCCAAATTATTAATTTGTGTGTGGGCATAATGTAATGTGTAAACACACATATGTATTACATGTCTACTATAGCAATGAATACACATGCACACATAATTCTAATTGTTATATATATTCAGGAAAAGCTTTTGCTTAGTACCTTCTCCCATGCTGCCAATAACTCATCATTACCTAAAGTTAGCTGCTGATACTCATTTCTTACCTTTAAGACTTCCATAAGAATCTGAATGTATTTCACCTAAGAATACCACATGTCTTATAGTTTTATAGACCCCTGGTGTGGTGTTGTAGGATAAGCACTGGACTGGTAACCACAAGATCAGCAGTTCAAACCCTCCAGCCTCTCTCAGAAATCCTATATGGGGTTGCTATGACTATGAATAGATTCTACAGCACACAACAACAATAACACAACATAATTTAATAATTAGTTGTTGTTGTTGTTGTTGTCAGGTGCCATCGAGTCAGAACCGACTCATAGCGACCCCATGCACAGCAGAACGAAACAATGTTCGATCCTGGGCCAACCTCACTACCGTTGCCACACTTGAGTCCATCAATGATGCCACCTGGCTGATCCATCTCGTTGGGGGTCTTCCTCTTTTTCTCTGACTCTCCACCCTACCCAGCATGACATCCTTCTCCAATGATTGTTTCCTCCGCCGGACAATATGTCCAAAGTAGGAGAGACGAAGCTTAGCCATCCTGGCCTCCAAGGAGCACTCTGGCTGCACTTCTTCCAAAACAGATCTATTGGTTCTTTTGGCAGTCCGTGGCACTTTCAGTATTCGACCTCCAACACCACAACTCAAAGGCATCAATTCTTCTACGATCCTCCTTATTCACTGTCCAGCTTTCACATCCATTTGAGGCTATTGAAAACACAATGGCCTGGGTCAGGCGCATCCTAGTCCTCAAGCTGACATCTCTGCTCTTCAACACTTTAAAAAGTTCCTGTGCAGCAGATTTGCCCAGTGCAATACGTCGTCTGATCTCTTGACTGCTACTTCCGTGAGTGTTGATAGTTGATCCAAGAAGAATGAAGTCCTTGACAACTTCAATCTTTTCTCCATTGATAAGAATGTTGTTTATTGGTCCAGTGGTGAGGATTTTTGTTTTTTTGTTTTATTATTTTTTAATAATTAGAATAGGGGTAAAATAATGAAATGTTTTATAATAGGCAGACTATTTGTATAAATAACAGACATTAGTTCACTAATTTATTTTCCTTTGGATTATCCAAACATCTATTAGGTTTTCTGTAATTGTTGATTGTAGGTTACATTCTTGCTTTAGCTCACAGTCTATATTAATACCTTGTTCTACACAAAATCCTCTTTAAATCCATAACTGGATAACAAGTAAAGAAACTTTATATGTTCTGAGCAAAAATATTTTGGCTTTTGTGTTTTGACCTAACAATTTACTCAGAACATACAGATCTCCTTTACGTGTTAGCCTGTTGTGTTAGCATGCATTTGATGGGATTCCTGTGCATAGGTCTCTGTTGTATTAAGGAAAGAGTCCTGCTCTGGTAGCGCAGTGGTTACGAATCAGGCTGCGAACCTCAAGGTCAGCAGTTCGAAACTATCAGCTGTTCCAAGGGAGAATGATGAGGCTTTCTGCGTCCGTAAAGATTTACAGCCTCGGAAACCTTGTACAGGGTCGCTGTGAGTCGGTTCTGACTCCACGGCATATAACCACCACCACCTGGGTAGCAGCGTTCTGCTAAGGTTGGCGGTTCAAACACCAGCTGCTTTGCTGGAGAGAGATAAGGCTGTCTGCTCCCATGAGATTTATAGGCTCAGAAACTCTGGGGCAGTTCACTCTGTCCCACAGAGTGACTGTGAGCTGGAATTTAGTCTATAACCATGGGTTTTGTATTTAGAAAAGACATCAAATCGATATAAAATATTGTTTCACTTATCCATTAATACATTTGTACAGTTCACTAATTTACTTACAACAATTTTAGATTTGAAATACCATCACAAATTAATAATTTGGTCTTTGACATCTCAAATACCCCAAATAATAAGTTTTTGTTGTTGTAGAGTGCCTTTAAGTCGGTTCTGATTCATAGTGATCCTGACTAGGGTTTCTAAGGAGCAGCTGGTAGGTTTGAACCACTGATAATGGAATTCAAACTGACCTGTGGTTTAGTGCATTACCCTGTAGTGCCACAACAGGACTCCAAATATGAAGCGGAGCCACATTATTGGGACAAAAGAGATTGACCTCACTATATATCCAAAGCCCTTGGTTTGTAGTTGTTAAGTGCTATCAAGTTGGTTCCAACTCATTGGGAGCCTGTATGGAGTTTCCAAGGCTGTAAATCTTTGCGGGAACAGAAAGCCTCAACTTTCTCTCATGGGGCAACTGGTGAGTTCTAACCACCGACCTTGTGGGTCTCAATCCAATGCTTATGCTACAGAACCACTAATGTTTACCTCGAATTTATGAATTCATAGAAGAAAATATGCTTATATGGAATTCCCTACTTTAACCTCACAGAGTGAAGCACTTTTCTCACCATGTCGTGCTATCCACCTGACTGACCCCTGTTGACAACTTCCATCATATGTCTAAGCTAGTGTTTGACAGGCTCCTCTCCACACCTATTGTCCAGTCTAAAAAGGAGACAACATTGACTAGACCCAAACTGGGGGCATTCTACATGAGGGTGTTCAATACCACCCTCAACCTCACCATGACATTGAAATTGTCAATGCTTTCAAAAACAAGGATGGTCTGAGAAGCTGTCACAGTCTAGA